TATTATTATTATATTCTTATCAATATTTTATTATATTATCATTATATATTATTATCATTAGTATTACTATTTTTATCATTTTTATCATATATATTAGTAATTAATGAGTGAGTATAGGGAACGATCATATTCGGAAGCTAATATCTCGAAAACTAATGTAAAAACCTGTTACTGCATATTAGCAAACCCCCCTATTTTGGGTTATAGAACATTTTTGTATTAATAAGCTAGATCGATTATCATAGTAAAATCTTTAATAATTAGCGATTTTTGATAAACATTCTAGAACTTACTAATTAGTATAACGAAATTTAAATTAAATGTAACATGTGATATACCATGTAACCCTATATGCTTCATATGATAGATAGATGTTAAATTAACATCTACATAGTCACAAAACATTATAAATAGCCCCCTTTTCTCCTTTCCTCAAAATAACTTTGTATAAGTTCTCATTTTTGATTACTATTGTTTTCTTAGAAATTGGCATTTTCTTTAAGTTTTTGTTATTTTTCTTATCATTTCTTGATATTTTTAGAGTGTATAAGGTTTGGATTCCCAGAGTCTAATAGTGTTCGCTGTATTGCTTGAACTAAGTTTGGACTCCTTTGAATCTAATAAGGATATATTTTATTTTATCTGTTTGTTATTATTCTATTATAACTTTACCTTTTAAATATTACTCTCTGCTTTAGTTCTTTAAATCAAACTGCTAGTTATTGCTCCCTTATGGTGGTCTCCAACTTGAGTCTAGTTATACAAAAATAGAGCAATAACATTTGGTGCCTCCTGGCGGAAACATAATATTTAAAAGGAATATTTCTTTCTATTGCTTAAGTTTCTTTTATCATATCTCTTTCATATTACTCTTCTATTTTCTTAGTTTTTATTCATCTTATTCTCTATTATCTTATCTTTTAACATCTTATTATCTATTCTTTATCTTTCTTATTTATTCTTATTTTTATCTATAAACATATCTTACTTTATTATCTTCTCTAAACACTTTTTATTTTATGTTTAACCAACAATACTTTAACTTCTCTCGTGAATATTTTGGATATATCCCCACTGACAAACAACATCAACTCTAATTGACCAAATTAAACAAATTATTACTTTCTTTCAACAAAGATTTATTCTTACTTCTGAGGAAACTAAACTTCTTTGTATATATACTCAACATTGTAGTTTCTTTTGGGCCAATGGCAAATCTAAATATAATCCACCTCAAGTTTGGGATCAAGGTATAATTGAACAAGAGTTTCCTAAAGAAAATACTCATCAACAAACCTATTATCTTGAATTTCCAAATCCAAATAACCCTACTGGAATTCATTATAATCTTCCTCATCCTACTAAATTACAAGTTGTTAATATTATCTATACAAATTATTAATTAAATAATTTAAATCTCTACGAACGAGAATTAAATAACAATATTATCTCTTCTAATGGAATAAAAGAATTAGTAAAATTTTGACAACAAAAAGGTTTAAATATTTATTTAGATTAAAGTATTGAATGACTGATAACTTTGATTTATTTTGACAAAGAAACAATTTACATGATAGCTTTCACAACGAATATATATTAAATCCTGACACTTTTGAATATTTAATCAACAACTTTCTGACATTTCTTGTACTATTTGTTATCCTGTAAACACAGAAAGAGGTTATTTTTTATCAATTTTTGGTTTTGGTTTTCTGCAGAATTTCCTGTTGTTCGATATTCTGACTATACTATCTTAGTTTTTCAAAATATTATCATATATAATATTGATAATTTACCTTTAAAACATTTTGAAAACCTTACTTTTACTATTTGATATCAACAAAGTTTAACTCCTTTAGTATTTGATTCTTTACCTATTCAAATCTATACTGCTTATCTTCGAACAAATCGATTTACTTTAGATCCCTTTTTAATTCTTTATAATCATAGTGAAGTAGAATCTGAAACTTCTGCTTTATCTGAATTTGATTAGAACAATTATATCAAACTCCTGTATCTTCTCCTCCTATTACTCCACCTTTATTACCTTCAAATAATAATAATATGGCATTACAAGCACAAGATATTAATAATTTAATTAATGCTATTCAAGCACTAGATAACCAGATTCAAAATCAAACAAATGCTGTTGCTAATAATACTAATCGTCTTGGACAAAGAGAAACTAAACTTATCAAAATTATACCTTTTGCTGGTGGTAACCAAGATCCAGTCACTTGGATTGAGAAATTTGAACATATAGCTGTAGCTAACAACTTTACTGATACAAGAAGACTACAAATTATCCCTGCCTATCTTAAAAATGAAGCAGCAATTTGGTATACTAACGCCAATCAACAACAAGCTTTTGGATACTAGGATACACAAAATAAAGTTGATAGTTTTAAACCTCACTTCCTTACTCGATTCTGAACTCCTGTTCTTATTGACATTTGGGCTACCAACTAACTTACTGTATACAAGGACCAACTGAAACTATAAACCAATATGCTATGCATCTACATAAATTATATCATCGATTAGAAACAAATACCAATGTTTATCCAGAAATAGAAAAAGTTTGTAAATTTACTACTGGATTAAGAACAGAATTACAAATAGCAGTACGTTCATTTGGTGAAAATACTTGGGATAGAGTAGTTAACAGAGCAAAAACTTGTGAACTTACTCATTATGGTGCTGCAATGTATATTACTTCTAATCTTAACAATAATATTGTTACTCCAACTCCTACATCTTCTAATTCTGTTGAAATTATAATGGAAGCTCTCAATAAATGTATGGAAAACCTTGAAAAGAAAATTGAAAAGAAATTAGAAAACAACAACCATCCTAGAAGAAACAACCAAAACAATAATAATAACAATAACAACAACAATAACAATCAAAGAGGACCTGTTTGCTTCAATTGTTTCCTGGACATATTGTCTGGGATTGTCCTAACCCAAGAAATAATAACAACTAACAAAATAAGCCTCCAACAAATAATAATAATCAACCTAGAAATAATCAACCCAGAAACAACAATCGCCCAAACCTTGTTCAAAATAATAACAATCAACCACAAAATAATAATAATAATAATAATAATTCTAATCAACTTACACAACAATTAGTCACTCTTTTACAACATTTAAACTTGAATTAGCGTCAGTAAATACAGAAGGTCCTGATGCTTCTCAAGACAATACAAACCCTTCTATGATATATTTAAAAGAAGAAGATAAAAATAATATTAATGAAGCCTATGTAGAAAAAAGAAGAAAAGTAGTAGAAGAAAATGAAACTCCTGAAGTTCAAAATATTGTAGTAAATAACCCTCAAGCAGAAAATTCTAAAACTCCTAAAGCTAAAAAAAAAAGAAATCCTCTACAAGGTCCAAGATTTTATAAACCAACGATTGGTAAAGATGTATCAAAATACTCAATTGTTGAAAACTTACAACAAATCAAAGCAAATATCTCTATTGCTCAACTTGCTGCTGAAAATCCCAAATACTTAAGAGAATTAAGTAGAAGCCTTCGAAAGAAAAAGATTAAATCTGCTTCTGAACCTATGATTACTGCCCAATATGCAGTGATGGAAAATTTAGAACTACATCATTATATTGTCAAGCCAATGTTAATGGAGTTACTACCAATATTATTCTTGATAGTAGTTCTGCTGTAAATATTATCTCTAATCATTTTCTCAAACGTATTGGCTTAAAAATTACAAAACCATTAACAACTTTAATGTTAATTGTAAATGGAGAAAAGAGAAGACCTCTTGGAGAAGTAGAAAATCTACCTATTAAAATTGGTGAATACTTCTTACTAATTGACGTAGTAGTTACAGATACTGATATATATTCTGTAATTGTTAGTAATGACTAGCTATCCAAAGCCAAAGCAAAAATTAATTGGGAAAAATTGGTAATGAAAATTAAAAATAAAAAGTAAAAATTTAAGTTTCTATTGAATTTAGACATATTACTGGAATCCCAAGAGTTGAAGCTATATCTAAAGGAAAAATAAAAGAAGAATGCTCTGATGAAAGTGAAAGTGAATATGAATCCTCAAGTAAATCTGATGAATCCACTGAATATAAAGATGAACAACTTGAAGAAAGAATCTATACTCTTAATCTTTGGCAAGAAATTGAAAAAGAAAACTTAAAGCAAATGTGCCTATACTGTCATACAAAAACTAATGAAGAATGGAATGAAATCCAAGAAATCTTACCAACATTCTATGAATATAAAATAGAAGATTCTTTTGACCCTTCTACTAAACTTAATGTTGGTGAATTGGATGAAAAACAACAAGAAGAATTTTATGATCTTGTTAATGAATATATTGATATCTTTGCTCAAAATGATTCTGATCTAGGAAAAACTAACGAAATCCAACATGAAATTGAAGTTGAAAACGATAAACCTATAAAACAACAATTTTATCGAACCTCATCTAAAGAATCAGATTTTATTAAAGAAGAAATTCAAAGAATGTTAAAACTAGATCTTGTTCAGCTTACTAAAAGTCCTTGGGCCTCTCCAGTTGTTATTGTCAAAAAGAAAAATGAAAAACTACGTTTTTGCATAGATTATAGAAAATTAAATGCAATAACTAAAAAGGATAGTTATCTTTTACCAAGAATTGATGAACTCCTAGACATATTACAAGGATCTGGATAGTTCACTTCTCTAGATCTAGCAAGTAGTTACTGGCAATTAGCTATGGCTCCTCAAGATGTATCTAAAACTGCATTCACAACTCAACATGGACTATATGAATTTAAAGTAATGCTCTTCAAATTAACCAATGCCCCAACCACATTTCAACGTTTAATGAATAATATACTACAAGAATATCTTTGGAAGTTTGTTGTAGTATATCTTGATGACATCAATGTCTTTTCAAAAACTTTCGATGAACATATCCAACACCTTCATCTTGTATTTAAATGTATTAGAAAAACAAACATTAAACTTCAACCCGAAAAATGCTTTTTTATCAAACAAGAATTAGCATTTTTAGGACATATAATTAGTAAAAATGGAGTCTCACCTGACCCAGCAAAAATAGAAAAGGTCAATAATTATCTAGTCCCTAAAACTATTACTCAAATACGAGCTTTTCTTAGACTTCCTTCCTATTATAGAAGATTTATTGTCAACTTTTCAAAAATAGCAGCTCCAATGAACCAACTACTTAAGAAAAATATTAAACTAGAATGGAAAGAAGAACAACAAAAAGCATTTGAAACTTTAAAAGAAAAACTTATCTCAGCCCCTATTCTTATATTTCCAAATTTTGACAAAGAATTCATACTCTATACAGATGCATCCACTATAGCTCTTGGTGCCATATTATCACAAATAGGAGATGATAACAAAGAACATGCTATAGCATACGCCTCCAGAACTCTAAACAAATCTGAACAAAATTATTTTGCAACAGAACTAGAATGTCTAGCTTTTGTCTAGTCAATTAAATATTTTCATCCTTATATACATGGACAACAATTTACAATTATTGTCGCAGATTAAAATGAAATCTGATCAAAATGAAACTAGGGACCTCTCATACCCACCCTTAGAGCCTATAAAACCCACATATACTCATTTATTAATAAACCTAACCCTAAACCCTACCCTTAATGCTAAAAAGAACCCCAAAAAATGTCCCACAAAAAATTTTAAATTTTCTTTAAAAAACAGAAAAATTTCGTTTTGATCAGATTTTTTTTAATCTGTAACAATTATTACTGATCATTCTGCATTGTGCTCTTTATTCAAATTGCTAATCCAACAGGAAGACTTGCACGTTGGATTATGAAACTCCAAGGTTACAATTTTTCTGTACAACATAGAGCAGGAAAAATACATAAAAATGCTGATGGTCTATCCAGACTTCCCCAACAAATCTAAACTTTAAATCAAAACAATATTTTTATTTCTTTATATTATTATTATATATTACTATTTATTATATGTATATTTCATTATGGATATCTCTACCTATAATCTTATTTATAATTATCTTCAAACTTTTAATTTTCCACCCAATTTACCTTCTCCACAAAAAGCTAGTATTAAATGAAAAGCTATTACTTAGTTTATTCAAAACAATTTATTATTTAAAAAGCCTTCTCTTAATAATTCTATACTCCTTCGTGTATTAAAAATTAATGAAATAGAAGCAGTTCGTTATCAAATGCACTATGATCCTAGTGAGGACATTTTTCTTTTGATAAAACATATATAGCAATCGCAAAGAAATACTTTTGGCCAGGAATGCAAAAACATATTAGAGAATATATACAAGCATGTGATGCCTGTCAAAAAAGAGAAAAACCTCCAAAAACCAACTCTTTACACCCA